AGTAGTAGTGGTGGTGGTAGTAGTAGTAGTAGTAGCAGTAGTGGTGGTGGTGGTAGTAGTAGTAGTAGTAGTAGTAGCAGTAGTGGTGGTGGTAGTAGTAGTAGTAGTAGCAGTAGTGGTGGTGGTGGTAGTAGTAGTAGTAGCAGTAGTGGTGGTGGTGGTGGTAGTAGTAGTAGTAGTAGTAGTACTAGTAAGTAGTAGTACTAATAATAATTACAATAATCATAATAACACTAGCGCAAAGCATACTTCTAAAGCTTCACAGTTTGGGACCCCTAAATCCAACGCCCCAAGCCTTGGCACTGCTTTGGGTCTGGGGTTTCGGGTTGCGTCTTCCGGCTGAGGGTTTCTGCCAGATTGAGGAGTTCCCATCAGCTTGGGATTTTGGGCCCCGAATCTCCCCAGGCCCCGGTATCCGACCCCTGAAGCACCCTGCCCCTCGTAAAGCCTTTGAGCTCTAAACACTCGAGCCTAATTCGTGAGTCCTAACATCATCTAGCACTGTCAATACACAGGGTCGGAAAGCTCCGCTCGATTATTTCCCAAAGAACCCTGTTCCATGGTCGTTAAGGCCCCTATGCTGAAGGGTTCGGATCCTCTGATGTCGAGGCGAGGTCGATGCCGTTCCTTTCTCGGATCTTCCGAACGGCACGGACACGGTGCTGGCTTTCGCACTGCTCCACCGGCCACATGCCGGGGCGCGCACGGGCCAATCTGCTTCGGGCTTCAGCTTTCTTTCAAAGGGACTGGTCTTTCGGGTTCAGGCTTTCGGGTTTAGGGTATGTGGGGAAAGGGCTTGGGTTTCGGGTCTTACAGCCTGAAAACTTCCAAGAGCGACTTGCAGACTCCTAAATAGCAAATCCTAAGTCCGATCCCGTGCTATCCCAAATTAACCACATCTCCATGCTCCTTGAACGACAGAACGATGTCCACATGGTCAACCGAGGCTCAAGACTTACATGGGGTTTTGGCTCGTCAGGTTTCTGGGCAACCTTATGAGCACGGCACTGAGCATTGTCTGTAGAGAGCTTCTGGCTTGGAGGGGTTGTAAGGGCTCGGGGCTTACGGAACTTGTGTGCAAGAGACCCGACCCCTCCTAAACTTGGAGCCCTGCGTAGAGGCCTCGCCCTCCATCAACAATCAGATCTCCAACAACTCCTTCACATGCCGCTGCCCTGGAGAGGCCAGTAAGGTACATGGGGTGTCCTGAAATCATGGGTAACTTATTTTGGATTGGGGTGCTTGAACCTTAAGAAAGGAATCCTTGCTAATGAGCATCTTTTATTGGGTTCCGCACATGTTCCGAAACTCCCAAATGCATGGTTCACGGGTTTGGAAAACCCAAAGCAATCCTCAAAGAGCCTAAACTTGACAGGGAGTCGCGGACCAGTGTTTGCGGTAAGCCTTCAGTTCGTGCGCTGTGCTTTACATCCCCATCCTACACCCGAAACCTGAACGCCTGAAGCCTGAAGCCTAGACTCGAATCTTTCTTGGCCTTGTCCCGAAGCCCCAAAACTCCCAACACCCCAAACACCCCAGCCCTTGCACTGGGCCCTGAAAGAATGCCACCTGCGCTGGGCTGGCCTACTTCACCGGGCGCGGCACCGGTCTGGAGGCTCACTCTTGTGTATGACTGTAGATGGAGCTGCAGTCCCTGACTGTGAGCAGTACGACTCTTATTCAAGCCAACCATGTGCATCAGTACTGTTGCTGCCACGAACATTCACATGGACAGTATTGATGATTGTTGCCGGTATTCCAGTTCAGCACTTTCACCAGCCGGCCTTCGGTTCATGGTTTCGAAGCTTGTGGCTTATCAAACTTCGAACCTTCGAGTTCTCGTATTGTGCTTCTGTTGATAGGGGTGTCTTCCTTTTTAAATTCGCAGGGTTCGGTTCAGTTGTTGGAAGCCTCTCGGCTTTTGTTTCGGTTCACGTGGTGTGAGTGCGCTTCAGGGGCTCGAGTTTTTAAACTCAACGGGGTTATGCCGTACTGTGGTTTCAGGGTTGCCATCGCGGTGGTGGTCGTGGTGCTAGCGGTCGTGGTGCGGTGGTGGGTGTTGCGTTTTGAGACCTGGGAATCCAGACCCCTTTTGGGGTCTAGCCTGAAAGTTTTGTGGAATTGTGGTTTCGGGTTTAGCGATTAGCTTGTCCGCTAAGCCCAACAACTTCGAGCTTTCGCAACGTGTATTCCTGATGCCAAGCCCCTCGGCGCATACGGACCAAAATCCTGTGAGCTGCTAGCATTTCTGCCCTGAACGAACCCCGACCTCAAACCAATGATAACTGAATACCTTGAACCCGACAGGCTGCTACCGCATTTCCCACCACCTTACACAGCTGCTGCACTTCGGGATTGCTCGTGTTTAGGGGTGCTGAAGTCCGAACCAGATCGGGGATAGCTTTGCTAACCTCAAACAATAAACCTTAAAGCCAAACTCGAGGAGACCCGAAGCAACTTGAGCCTTGAGCCTACTGTAAGCCGTAAACCCTAAACCCTAAACCCTAAACCCTAAACCCTAAACCCTAAACCCTAAACCCGTTCAGAATCTTTTGAAAGCCTTTGCAGGGGGTGCGCCTCCCGGGCCATTCCTGGGGCGAGCGGAGGCCGACGCAGCCCTCGCACTTTACAGGGACCCTTGGCCGGTTTAGGGTTTTGGGTTTAGGGTTTAGGGTTTAGGTTTTTGTGGTCCTGAGGGTTGCAGGTTTTGCTCTTGTTTGGAGTTGTGGCCTAATTAGATGCTTCGGTGGGTTCGGGGTTTGGGGAGTTTGAGTTTCAAGTTCCGGGGTCCTGGCTTAAGGCGGAAGAAGGGTCTTCAACCCTTTAACGTTAATCGCGAGTTTAGTTTACTCCATCTTGCCCAAGCTTTACCGGAGGGAACCTAGTGGGGCCTGGAAACAGCTCTCGGTCTTCAACGGGCTGTAGGGGCTGGGCTTTCGGGTCTAGGGTTTGGGGATCTAATCCCAAGCTGGGCTGCCTTTCAGGGTTTAGGGCAGTTTAGGGTTTGTTCTCTCCGTATTGTGGGCCAGTGATGTGCTTCCAGAGTTCCTGGCAAGCAGTGTCTTAACAACACGTTCGCATTTGAGGGGCGGTCTGAATGTCTTGTTTCAGGGGAGGCAAATTGACATCTTTGAATGCTCTGCTGCGTTTCTTTCGCCTCGCTCACAAGCAGGAATGTACTTTGCAGCCAATCTTTCTAAATTCAGGTCCTGGTTTCTCATCAAGCCTAGTACACCGCCCGGAACGGACCATTCTTCTTTCAAGGCTTCTGCGGCGGCGTGCAGTTGTCGTAGCAAAATGTGCGATGCAGACAGCATGTGGGCGTTCTTTCAGCGCGACCACAGCTTCTTCCCTTTCAAGGTCCAGGACCCTTAGAGGCCAGAAGAGCTCGCCATCGAAGCCTTCTTCCGGCAATTTTGCCCTGGGTGGCCGGGTGGGCCGTGGTAGGAGCCTCGAGAGAGCGTGTCAATGGTCAGCAGAGGCTTCCGGCAGTTTCGGGTTGAGGGCCTTCAAAGCCGCTGAGACCTAAAACTTGAAGCCCAAACCTTACACCAGAAACCCTGACACTGGAATCCTAACCTCTGCCCTTTGATAGGCCAATAAGTACCCCGAGTATCGTATCATATAAGTACCCTTACCATGGCTCCCATTCTTATAGTACCCTTCCATTACCTTTCACGACCCAAAGGGTGATCGCCCGAGGAACCTTGAGGACGGAGACCTCGGTTCCGTGCGATGTGGCAAGAGCCCTGTCCGACCCGGGCTTTAGGTTTACTCACGAACGTGATCGTCGGAAAAGAGTGGTAAAGGTACGGGATTCTGAGAGGGGTTCGGAGCGTCAAGGTGGCAAGGCTTGTATTTAGGGTTCTGGTCGGGGTCTGGGAGACCCAAACCAATGATTGTTGGCACCGGTCAGAGTTTTTAGGGTGTGGGGGGTTCACGGGTGTGTTATGATGAGCTTTAAGTCGATGTTGGCCATGATTATGTAATGCTGCCAGTTTTGTGATTGCCAATATGAGTATTGACAACCGTAGTGAAGGATTTTTTTGTTGCAGTCCTGCTCTTCTTGTTGCTGCTGGTATAACTAGGCTTCTTGATTGTGATTGTGCTGGTCGTGATTCTGGCCGTGGTTCTCACCATCATCATCACCATCACTGTCGCCCTCGTCATCGCCATCATCATCGTCGTCGTCGTCGTCCTCCTCATCATCATCATCATCAGCACCATCATCATCCTCCTCCTCATCATCATCAACACCATCATCA